AAAATATGATCGCTGGTATTGACGAAAAGTTTTTTATTCCTCGCTAGTCGAACATAGTTGAAACCATCCAATAGTTTGCATCCAATATAACGCATTAAATCAATCCATGCTTCGATACAAGCCGGATCAATGTCAGATCCTAAAAGATCTGCTACCGTACACACCACCTGACTACAGAATAGCCGTACTGTTTCTTCATTAAAATGTTCCTCCTATAAAATGAGCTTCTTACTTTTTCAAGAATTTGTTTATTTACTTTATTTTTGACCCTATAAAAGTTTGTTCTAATCAATGTTTTTATATTGGAAAAAAAAAAACAAAAAACAAAAAGAAAGTAAACAAGGAGGAATTATGAATACATGCGAATATATCGTATAAAAGAACTTCTATGGTTACAAAAGCATTGAAATTAGATTTAACTTGAAAAAAAAAATAGCATAACTTAGTAATTTATACAATTAAAAACAATATAAAGACTCGGAAAAAAATATTGTAATTTGCAAAAGAGTTTTAAGTTTGAAAAAAAAAAAAAAACCATACTGCAAATTTGTAATGTCGTTGTCCATAGCGGAAAATTGCCGGGGCAATTTCTATTTCAAGTTCATCGACATGACGTACCTGTATAATAAAATTAGGTTAATTAATATATTCAATATTTATTCATAATCTGATTTTCATCTCATATGAATTATCAGAATAGGAAGTTCCACAGAAATAAAATATTTAATTTTTGTTAAATAAATTTTAATTTAATGTTATAAGAATAATTTTTGAAAAAAAAAAGAGAAAAATTCGATAAGATCAAACCGTAAGCGATATTAAATTGGTAAATAATCGCATTTGACGATAAATGGAATGTTTTTCAGGAATTGAATCAAGCAAATCATATTCTTCCACATGAAAGACTCGCTTCAGTAGTGGATTTCGCTCGAAAATTCGCCGATAAACAAAAAATCCAAAACTTTGATTGGTAAATTCTAATTTTTTAGTTATTGTTTGCCACGATTGACGAATTAATTCTTGTTGCTAAAAAAAAAAATAAATAAAAGAAAAAAATTAATAGAGCAGAAATAATTAAAATTTTCTAAAGAAATTCTACTGAATGTTGAAATTTTGAGAAAATTTACAAATCTTTTACAAAGCAAAAATGAATTAGCTACTTTTAAATGAAATGATTTTTTTTTGTACCGAAAAAGTTAGGGGTCATGCAAAACCATCAATCATATCAAATATATTATTTTCAAACTTTTTCCATTTCAAGAATGCAAAAAAAAAAAGCAACAGTAATTTGCTAACAATTTCCGAAAGTATGCTTTCTTCTGAAGGCATCGAACGAAATGAATATGCTCTTAATTGTTTCAACGGTGACATTGATCGAGAGCGATCTTTCAATGGTTTCATGGTAACTTCCACATCCGATACTTGACCTGTTTCGAAGTTTCGCATCGTCATGCTACCATGTGTACTGATAAATTTTAACCGCTTTTCATTTTGTTCCGTTGTTTTTGCTCTATTTCTCGACAAAAATCTCATCTTAAAACTTTAATTTTGCATAAATTTTCATAAAATAAATTTAGAAAAGTGGAAAAAAAAAAATGAAAAAAATCTATATGTATAAGCAGAACGTATAAATTAAATTAAAAATTCGAGAAATTTATTTCAATAATGTTATAAAATCATGCATTTCCTAATGTTATATCGTACCATTAATTCATATCATAAAAGAATGTAAAATGAAAGAGTAAAAACAATAGCAAGTCTTGAATAAATCTTGAATAAGTAACTTAAGTTGAATAAATCAAACAGACCCTTCGTTCATTACTTGGTCCAGGTAAATCAAAATGTCGCTGATTCATATTTAAATTATATGATCGTTGGGTATTTGGTTGTTTGTTTCAGTACTGTTATCTATTGTTAATGGTGTAGTAATATTTTCAGTTAATAATATATCAGGCTCATCACCGGTAAACGTTTTCAGATTACGATAATGATCCTGCAAAAAGGTTTTATTTTAGAGAACGGTAGTTTTTTCTTTTCTCTGATAATAACCATTAAATGAATATTGATCTGATAAATTTAAATCATTTTAAAAATTATTCGTATATATAATATCTTTGAATATAGTTTTTCGCGAAAAATATTTTCGAATACTTGACAATCGCATACGAAATACATCGATGTACATCATGTATATATAAAAATTGTCAGCCCAAATGCGTTTTTCAAAAAATGCCAACTTACGCTCTATTAAATTAAATATTAGCTAGGCTTATCAAACAAAAAATTCCTTATTTTTTTCCTCCTTCCCTTCCCTTAAAGCATTTTGTCACCAAGGTAACATAATTTAGCTGAAAGGTATTATAAAAGAAGATTTTTTGACGTAATGCAAGTAAACCTCATAAAATGTCATTAACTTGATGATTTAAAATTAATAGATATTTTTATCAAATAATAATAAATGTTTGTCATCTAGCATTTACACTCGTTAATAGTTTGATTGTTACTAATAATAATAATAAATGAATAGTAGTGATTTAATCTTTCATTTTCTTGAAATTCAATCCATCAAAAAAAAAAAAACTAATTGAAGATTATTTAAAACGAAGTTGCCTTCAATCAATCATGACATACGCTTACAATCAAAATAAACATTCATATTTAAAAATTTTTACTTGCTAACACTGATAATTTATCAGAGATATTAAATCATTTTCAATGGCAATAAAAATTATGATAACTACAGCATTAGTGGAACCTAAAATATTTCCATAGATTGCAATTATTTTCGGCATTAATGGTAGATATTATAGAGGAATTATTATCAACTGATAAGCTAACGTGCTTCCGCATTTTTTATTTAATAGTCTGAATAATAATACATCATTTCTTTTTTTTTCGTTTTATTGGCCTAAATTGGCCAGCTATTGCAATATTCAAAATCATTGATATTAGCCACCTTGCATGCTTTAATCCAATTATTTGCTGATCGGGAAATATCCAATTATAATC